TGCCATACTATATTTATATAATATAAATGGGACACAAAAACGACCAGACCATAACAACAACAAAAAATCAAATGGAATGTCAATGACCAGAAACAACAAAAAACTTTTTGTTTCTTGCTTCTCTTCGGTCGAGAGTTTCGTAACAATTGAAAAAAGGAAGACAACGAAGACACCAAAGCGATTTTGTAGTGCCAGCAAAATAAATGAATCGCATGAATGCGACTGCTGCTGCTACAGCTAGTGGAGACAAGTCATTCGAAACGAATAACAAGTAGAAAAAAGACACAATGTATTTGTTTGTATGTGTCCATGTGGTGGTTCGTACTATATTGAAGCTGTAAACGTTGTAGGTACAAACCATATTCGCACGTAACGCTATTTATTATCTGAATGTCGGTGTAATATCAATTTATGTATTAAATCGATGTCACATCCATTGGTACAGTGTGATTGTATAATGTGTATGTCAGTATGTGTCATATTGTATTGTACCGAAGTGGTCGCTTTTAAAGATGACTGCACAACATTGATTTTAATTCTGATGCTACTGTATCTGTTGGTGGTACTTTTTGTTGTTGCTGCTCATTCATGTTTATTACATATTGGACGCTTTCGCACATCACTTGCAATCGAAATCAAAGTGAAAATAGCGTTGAACTTTGCAATCGGAAAAATAAATTTATTTCAACTGAGGATTGGATGTGTTATGGAATGGATTTGTAAGTGGATTTAAAGTATATATAGCCACAACGGTCACTACATAAAATCGCACGTTGCACGTACATATTGGACTGCAATGAAATAGACATTATTTGAAATCGGTGCGGTTGATAAGTTCTATGTTTGTATCTGGATCACCATACGAACAACATTTTTCCAACAGAAAATCCGTACACAATATTGCTCAACCAAACACATATCAGCCACCATAACAGCTAAACCTGCTCTGAATAATTAAAACTAAATACGATTTAAGTTTGAATAACAGAATTTAAACGAGAGATTCATTACTACTCACGATGTTATAAATTTCAAACACCAAACACGTAAAAGGATTATGCATAAACCATGTACCAAGAATGACTGTTCGACTTGGTTCAGTTTGAATCCACTCGCCTAAACTCATTCTCATATGATTTATCATATCGCGAGCATTCGCTATCACCCACCACTGTTATCTCTCTCTCTATCTCTCTTTTTCTCAGTCACCTCCTCTTCACTGAAGCAGTGGATCTAGATGCGATGTATTTCCGACGTTTTTGTTATGCCACTAGTTAATTGATTTTAAAATTACTTCCCATAACTACATTTCCCACAAACGCACAAACACACATATTCAACGGAACACAAATCGAGTCAAAGTTAATTAAATTTTCGTGTAAACACGATATCACGGCAGGTGAAGCACAAATTGATGCTAAATGAATAATTGAAATCAAATTTGACATGGGTTTCATGCAAACCTTTCCACCTCTTTCTTTCTCATTCTTTCTCTCTTCTCATGTGTCTTATTATTCAGCCACATACACGTCTCCACTGCGTATGAATTTGGTAATTGCAGCAAGCTTTTTGGAAACGACGCATTGCTACGTAATACAAACAATTTTGATGATTGCATTTAATAAAAGTTTTTGAATATGTCAAGTACAGTGGATTCGAACCGAATTTCAGGTGAACATTAAAACATCAGTCGAATTCAAGCTTGATTCAATTCAATCGGACACTTGAAAAATTTAACAGAATCTCTTTTTCTCTATCGCTATAGTCAATACAATTACTAATGTAAACGGGTGACGACTGTTCAAATTTAAAGCTATTATTCCTGTAATTTAATAATACAAATTATTCAGTAATTAATTTAGTAGAGAAAAGAAAATCAATCAAATTCTTTTGAAAAAAAAAGACGGAAAAACTTTTAACTTCAAAACTTCAACGTCGACAAATTCATTTGCACTTGTTGTTGCAAACCGTATATTTTTCGTTTTTTTTTTCTTTTCATTTTGGTTGAATGCTATGTTGTCATTTTTTCCAATGGTTTTTCACTCGTCGTGCTTACAGTTAAATAACTTAACATTTTCCTCGATGGAGAAAAACGAAAATGGAAAATGCCGTTAAACAAAGTGCACCATTATAAGATCTGATTTAATACTTCCGGAAAATCCACCCGTTGCTGCTGTTGCTTTCGCTGCTTAAACAAATGAACATCATTGAAGCACATTTCACGAACACAACCTAACCATAATTATTATTATCAAGTTATTCGTCAAGTTCTCGAATGAAGTCTTACAAGAATTTAACTTATGAAATTAATCTATCTATTGGGCGGAGATGGCTACGGAACTTTGACATTAAAATACGAAAATTAGTGAGCATGCTCAAATACAATGTCGCTCGATTCATTTGTCAAAAGTGAAGATTTGCGTGTTCCTCAATTGAATAGAAGCTCCACGGTCTGAATGTGCACTTCTAAAAGTGAAGAACTAGTGAACACCGATAACAGCAGTTTTCGAATAAAAATCCACGAAAATGTTAGATTGAATGGGTATAAAAGCAGCGTGGCTTTCGATACATGCCTTAATAAAAAAAAATCATGCTTTTTCCGCACCCCAAATTGGTTTGACAAATTTACACAAATATCCGGCACGGGTGGGGAGTTACATGAGCGAAACATTATAGAGCAAGTCGGTATTATCCCATCGAATTGAACGAATGATGTAGGGGTGCGATGAAAGTATCAACAGATTATTGAGAGTGACAAGCTCATTTTTGTCTCTCCCCAAATCGAAATAAATTGGACAAAAAAATCACTTCGAGAACAGAACCGCGACACGAAGAGTATATATAAAATGTATCCCATAGTGCTAATTCACACTTAGACTGAAGAATAGAACATGGCACAATAAATCCAGCAGGAAAAAAACGAAGAATAAAGATAGAGCATGTTCAGCCGAACAAATAAATCGGAACTTATATTGTATATTCGAAAATTGAGTGTACTCTTCCCATTTGAACAATGAATTTATGTACGATAGATATATAACCGATTAAAAAGAAGAGGGAACAACTTATAATGAAATTAACACTTTTCATGTGATATGGCGTTCATAAAATGAATTTTTACTCGCATTCGAAACAAGCGAACAACCGAAAACACCTACTTCGGGAGGGAAAATTGCTATACAAACTGAAAAAAAAAAACGAAAAAAGAAAACCAACGATGACAACATAATACTTGTGCAGTGACGATTGTGGCTGATATAATCGTGAACAAGCTCGAACTCATAAAAGTTAATCAGTTAATCAATATAATGCAAACGACGATGTGGCAAATTCCTTTCGGAAATCGTTTCGTTCGTCCAACGCAAATATAACGTGTATATGCACGAAAAACTAATCCACAAATAAGTTTAACGCTTATTCTTCTCCTTGTTCGCTCCATAACTTTCGTTTTGCATTCTTTCGCACTCACTTTGCGCCAGCATTTAATTATCTATTTTATCGTGCAGAATTTTATCGTGTGCAATTTGCAAATTCAATGGAAAATGACAACAACGAAGACCATATAACCAAATCACATTAGGTTTTGGTTTTTCCCATCAATTTTTGTTCTGTTCGAGCAATAAGCACATCATCGGGCACTGCTGCCAAAGGATATTGACCCGCTCGATGACATGTGAGAAAATGGCTTTGTTGCGTGCAATCCTTCCTTTGTGCGAGAATAAAAAAACCCAATTCTTTGCGACTAACCAGCTCAACCATGACGCGTGCTCATGTGCGAACACCAAAATTCACAACTTCAGAGCAGAGATTCGAGTCAAATGTCAACGATTTTTTTTTCATTTGGTTTTATTTTTCTTTTCTCAAATGCACTCTGCGCACTCATTTTCTTGATGGAAAGAGATTGTATGTGAAGCCCGGCGGTCGCAGAACTTTTTCAATTTAAAAGATATTTGACTTTGCGATGTTACAACGATAAACGCATTACGGGAACGAAATGTTATGAAACGGTCTTAATGTGTTGATTTTTTTTTACCTTGAATTTCTTCAAAAAACGTCTTTTACATTGTTGTCTACGCTAATAAACTCAATGATCAAACGATATGAATGGAAAACAAAATAGACGACACCACATCGTAATTTGAATCGTATTCATTTTGTAAATAGTTTCATAAACTTTAACGTAGATTGCTCGTAGCAAATGATCGTGTGGCTTATGGCAATTAATAAATATTTTGTCGATGTTTTATACTCTCTCTCTCTCCCTCTTTCTCAAACTCGTTCTATTTTATAGACCGCGCTTGTTTTTATTTACTCTTTAATGATCAGGATACAGTAGTAGTAATAATGAGCATGACCACGAACACCATAAAAACTTAGGAGCAAATTCGTAAAATTACTCTATACAAGACTAGTTAAATAAAAAAAGTATATCTGTATCACAATGCCCCATGTAAGGCTGGGGGTCCCAGCGGTTATTGAAAACATATGAAAAAAAAATTACGTAACGTAAGCTATACCTTCTACGCATATGTTAGTTCGACTGGACCAACGACGATTAAAGCAAGAGTCTATAAGCAGTAAGCACTGTGCGGAGTGATACAAGAGTATAGGTTATATATAATATATATAGGCGTCCACTCAAGTCCCCCCTAATAGTATATGCATTTCAGACGATATTTGTACTGAAATTCGACCGACAATGTTCTAGTGAATTATAACAAGTCGCAAAGTGAAAAATGTGATGGAATTTTTTTTTTTCAATTCGAAAATAATAGAAAAAAATATTTGGATTTTAAAAATTCATATTTAAAAAAAAAATAATGAAAAAAAGTTTCGAAATGATTTTGAATTAAAGGGAAGAAATAATTTTATACAAACGATATGAAATGATTGATTTCCGATTACGTTTAATTTAACACTTTTTGTTTGTTCTTTTCTCTGAAAAAGTGTTTCACTCACCCGCCCCATTGAATTCATTTGTGTTTTATTTCCAATTACAGATCAACATCCCGTTTTGTGGACCCAAATGAAGAAAAAAAGCCAAAGAAGAAAAAAACACTTAGCGCCACCACAAGCCTCGTATCGATACCAAATACAATTAAACTGAGCATGCTTAACAGTGGACTGATATCGTTCGGTAAGTTTATGACTGTTGTTGTAGCTTGAATAATTTCGAAAATTGAATTGTTGTTTGGTCTCTCATTTTGGACGTGTGTATCTTTCGTTCGATGGTTGTGTACACCGTTTTACTATTTGTATATTGTTGTCGTCGACTGTTATTCTCTGATGAATTCAAGCATCGATGCCATACAATTTTATTGGCTTTTGAACAAAACGAGTTTGGAATGGACTTGGACGTGATTCCCTGAAACTCGTGCGCTCGTTGTTCTTGTTTTTGTTATTTTTGTAAGCCTATGGACATATCTCATAAGAAGGCTAGCGTTCCACTATTCCAGTCTTTCGACTTGAATCACATTGATTCTATTATAGAGATTCAAAAGCTTTAGAAAGAAGAAGAAAAAAAATCGTTGTGAGATTATTTCCTTTTTTATCGTTGATAGGAAAATATTCAATCATATAAATCGATTTCAATGAGCATAGTCAACAGATCAACCGATTTAACACAATGTGTGTGCGAACATTTTTGTATGCATGTTTGTATTGAGCCAAATCGTGCGTCGTCTATTTTAATAATCTAATGACAACTTCGACCAAAGTATCATATAAATCGTTTGTCATCGTTTTTACTCTCTGTGGAGCTCATTTTTCATATTTTTTTCTTCTGTTTTCGCCGTATGGTGGATTTTCCTCTTATATTGTCCTTCAGATGTAACGATGGTTTACACACTGGTCAAATATCTTGTATATTCTCATAAATACATACACTTTTTTGGGCTGAAAATTGTCTCTGAGAGATATGACAAATGGATTGGAATAAAGAAAATCGAATGGAATGTATACTCACTCATATACACTGACTGGCGAGAAACAATAAAATGGCTGCTCAAAGAATGATTCTTACATTATTATTGTAACATTTACAACTTGGTTTCTTTCTTTTATGCAAAATGAACGACATTGAACGCATCCGTTCATCGCATTAAACGACACTTGCAATTAGGCTTGTCGGATTTTTTTTTCTCTGTGGGTAATTTTTTGTCCAATGGCATAATTTGGAACATAATTTTAATTGGATGAAATCCATCGTAAAGAATAAATTAACAGTGCTATTTGATCTATACAAAATGCATTACCAATACTTTTGGATTAACGGTAAATTTTTGTAATCGAAATATTTGTGTTCATTGACAATGGGTTCAATTGTATTCGGCATGGATGAAGAATACATTGGAAATGTTATTCATTCAGCTCAATATTAGAAATACTAACCGAATATTTGTATTTTTGTTTGTATACTAGAAAAACTAGAAGAAACTAAATACAGATGAAATAAAATCACCCTAGAAATTTTCGTCTACCCTCTATATGATCATAATTCACTTGAATTTGTGGATTTTCTACGGACTCGACTACACCTATTACTGTAAATTAAATGAAAGAAAAGAAATGTTGTCAGTCTCAATACATGAGAAAAATTTGCTTTTTACCAGAGCATATACTGAGCATAGATATATATCCGGGATATTTTGTGAGTATCCGATATTTATCGCAGCCAGACATTATAATGGAGTGAAAACAATAGAAGTGATTGTTATAGGTCTAAGTATAAAACCATTTACATAACTACAATCACTATAACAATAACTTCTATTGTTTTTACTCTATTTCAAAGTCTGGCTCCAATGAATATCGGATACTGACAAAATATCCAGGATATATATCTATGCTTAGTATATGCTCTGCTTTTTACAGGCGCAACTTAATGTAAGATCCGAATAAAATTCGAATATACGTCACCTGGAGAAAGAGTCCTCATAACATTTTCTATACAATGTTAAAGCATTGGGCATATGTATGCTTGATGTATCTTTATTACAATGTCTATTTGTAAAAATGTCAAGCGAAATAAAAGTTAAATAAAAAAAATTCCAAGGAATAAATGGGCTACGAAATGTCCAATAACAAAAGATTCTGTAACTTATTTAAAAAAAAAACTGCTGAATTATATTAACATAATAATATTTATTCGAAAATTCTTTTAAAATTTTGTGTCACCAATTTCTAGTTGATGTATCTCGCAAATTGATTTTGTGATTGAGTATTTCGTTATAAATTCCTTTTATATTTATGTTTTTTGCCATCTAAAATTTATTGTGTATATGAAACACACAAAATATACAGGTTAAAAGCTTGACACCGGACCATAATGAAAATAACATTTCATGTTTTGGAAATTCACTTTGTGCTTTTACAAGCCAATTCACACTTGGTGCAGAGAGAGAATAAGCCTCCGGCATGGAGTATACTAAAAATTCAATCAAACTGAACCATAAACAAAATGCTCATGTTCAAAGCCGGCAATATTTTGAAAATTGTTCAGAACTAACGAATAAATTTCTTCATAAGTATGCCAAGAGTGAACGAGAAGTGAACGAGAAGTGAGAGATATTGATTTACAATATTATTCTCATGACACACTGACAAAACTAAGGTTATGATTTTGACAACATTATGTTGTAAATGCTTACATTCCAACAAATGTTGTGAAGTTGCTAACGATCTAAACTCCGCAACATTAATTGGAATGTAAGCATTTACAACCTTACTTTTATCAGTGTACGCATAAAGTTTTGCCATTGAATTGTGTATAACAAGACACCGACATATTTTGATGCTATTTGAATTATGTTTTATATTCGAGTTTCAATCGTAAAATCAACACTTAATTTCATTTGTCAACTATATTCAATATGTGTGTACCATTTTTCTGTCGTTGCATTGCCATCAATTCATGTTTGATGCATTAAATTCAAAAACATGCTTTGATGCGAATTTAATGGATTTTGAATATACTTCAAGTATCACACGAACAAAATTATTATTCATTCAAAAATCGTTTGCTTTGAGGCAATTCGATTCCGATATCAAACATGAACAAGCACAATCCTTGTTAAACTCAATCATTTCTCGATTCAAACTATCAAATATCAATCGGTTGCATAAACCGAATCATGACATATATGGTAATTTACTTTTTTCGACGATTTTAATTTCATGCAAAGGGATTTAATTAATGTACGAAATATTTACGCTCCATTGGAACTGAATTAAATTTTCAAATATGCTAAGCAACTAACTTTAAAATACTAATTTTTCCAAATAATTTTAATTGAATGAATTATGCTTTATCGTCGATTGTGACTAAACTCAGATGCAAGCAGTAGAGAAAAGTTTGCAGCATTGAGTGGAAATGAAACACAACATCATCGTCAAAACAAAATGAAATGCTTATATTAAATAATGATCGAAACAAAGACAGACACACACACACACACACACACATACAGAGAGAGAGAGACCAAAAACAACAGCATCTCTTCAGCCGCGTTCACTGTGCAATCAGATACGTTGTGGTGCCAGTTTGACGGTTACATTGTTTTGAACATTGCTCAGCTTCGTATTTTCGTTACATGCTTTTCCGTTTTTGAGGCTTTTGTTTCGATGCGGTTGTTTGCTCGTGTTCGCCATTTCAATCCTTCTCGATATCATGTATCCATTTTATGTGCGCCTATAAAATCACATAGTAGCATAAAATTCCGACTGCTTTTATGTGATTTATAGCTTCCTTAGAAGAGGAAAAAGTGCGATAGAGACACAAAAAAAGTGAGATAGAGAGGAAAATCATTCCTATGAATCCATACCAGGCATCCACCCGAATTCGAAGCACCGACAAGAGAAAAAAATAGAATGTTTTAAATCCACATCCGGTGAATTTCAATCATTCCAACTTTACTCGCCACACAATACACAACAATCTAATTCTCTATCTATCGCACACAAACAGTCACACGTTTTCACTTCACTTTTATCGAAAATTCGTTCATTCGAAGAAAATTGTTGTAATTTTCCAATACCGAAGCAAATATCGATTCTTACATTCCCCACATGTAGTTGAGATGCTTTTTTTTCTACAAGCAGCAGTGTATTAAAATCGACAGCGTTTCATTAAGCGGTTTTATCTGAATCGATGAACTAAAAAAAGAAGCGAGAAACCAAATTACAGGGAAAAAACGAAATGGGTGTAGGATCGTTAACTTCTTTTAAAGCTTAAGGTTTGTGTTTATCTTAATTTCTTTCAAAAAATGAACAAAATCGACTACAGTTCTGGTGCCGATTAACTTATAAACATGCCCATGTGGAGTTGACACGAAATATACATGAAATTGAACCAATATGAATGAATTTTAAATGAATCTCTTTTACATACACTTCACTTTGGCTCGGTCACTTTAATTTAAAAAAACGGTAGATTCCGGATGTTGGACAGCAAATGAAAAATGACCTGTGTCAAATACCAGTTACTTTCGATTGAATACATATATTATTTCAATATCCGGAATAATTTAGTGATTTTCTCTCTCTCTCTCTCTCTCTCTCTCTCTCTCTCTCTCTCTCTCTCTTTCACTTTCACTTTCCAGGGATTCAAATGCATTTGTTTTTTTGTCGAACTCAATTTTTTGTCTCAATAAATCCGTCTTCATTGTTGAAAATGTGTTATTGGCACGTCATAAGCTCGCTTCATTTGGCCGTGCTTTTATCTGGGCGTTCCTGCTTCCGACTGAAATATATATATTTTTTGCTTCAGTCCCTTTTCCCTTGTCGGTTAGTATTTTTTTCTCTGAATCTCCCGTTCGTTATCTGTCTACTTTGATTATATGATAAAAAAGAAGATGGGCCGCCGCAAATTTTCCTAACACTAGTAGTGTGCTAAAATTGGATGTAACGAAGATTGAACGATATGACATTTACAGACGACAATTTAAAAAAAAGAGAGAGAGAATGCGGAATTTATTCAATATTAGCTACTCTTCGTCCTTTCCAAAATGAATGGTTACAGTTCATTGAATGTCTTCATTTCTCAATTTATTTTATTTGCCATTTGGTTCGCGAAAAATGGCGCGAAGAAGTATTTTCTTAGTTGCGGTGTGTTGTTGCCGCGTTTTTGTCAATGTGCCA